GTCCCTGAGCATCTTTTGTTCAAGGCTAATCTTGAGTTCAACAGAGCCATAGGGCCACTTCTGTCCTTTTCTGAGTAGTTTATTGGAGATGAGTCTCACGGGCTCTCCAGCCCAGGCTAGCTTTGAACGTCCTGAGTAGCTAGGTTACAGGCAGGAGCCACCAGCGACCAGCTAAATATACATACATACATACATATATATATATATATAGGTCCAGTCGTGGGGCTTGTACTCTGGGCCTGGGCGCTGTCCCTCAGCTCTTCAGCTCAAGGCTAGTGCTCTACTACTTGGGCCACAGCACCACTTCCGGCTTTTTTCTTTTTGCTTATGTGGTGCTGAGGAATCGAACCCAGGGCCTCAGGCATGCAAGCACTTTACCACTGAGCCACCTTCCCAGCCCTATATATATATATATATATATATATATATATATATATATATTTAAATGAACTGTTTTATTTCAGGGCAGATGATTGGGACAATAGTGTGGTATATTCTTGCACCCCACTCCTAATTTCCTGTCCTATTAACAGGTGACTCATTTGCCACAACTAGTGAACTAATTGACAGTGTTTTGCTAATTCACCATCTTTTGCCTCAGCTTCTTCCCAAGTGCTGTGATTACCTGAGTATGCTACTACACTCGGCTCCTTCATGCAGCTTTCTTTAGCTGGCACCTCATGCTCTGTCTGCCCCACCTGGGATCCACATGTGACAGTTGGTCATTTTGTCTCCTTAGGCTCCTTGACTGTTTCTTAACCCCCCCTAGCTTTGATGACCTTCCAGACAAATGTTTTGTAGGGTGCCCCTTCATGAGGGTTTGTCCGATACTTCTGTCATGATTAGAACTTGGGTCACATACACGGGCCTTGGGGAAGAGAGCCACAGAGGTACAGTGCTCTGTCCACAGCTCATATTTGACTTAACTGCTTGGACAAGACATTATCACCTGGGGTCCCAGCCAATCACAGGCACAAGATGCCAGAAATGATGCGTACTTGGCCACCCCTGTTAAGAAAATGGAGGAGAAAGGAAGGAAACAGGCTGATCAGCCCCAAGGAGCTGAGGCTGGGACACAATGTGGACACAGCTGGAAAGGGATGTCTGCTGAGGTCCAGGCTCAGAGCTTTTCTCGCAGAGGCGGGGCAACGCCGCTGGCACCTCTGCTTTCAGCAAACCAACTACAAGAGCCTTAAAGTGACCAAAGCTGTCTGGCAACCGAGACAGGCCACGGGGAACCCCAGGCCGCAAGGCCTTCGTTGGCAGAGGCACACAAGTGTTTATGACCGCTCCTTTATGACCGCTCTTTTCTTTCCCCACGGCAGGGTTTCCAGAGCCGGCACCATGTACCCTCCTCTGCATTGCCTCACTTTCCCTGTGCGGCAGGGATCTGGGGACAGCACAGCCATTCTGCAGAGACCTGTGGTTCCTCTGAGCCAAGTCCTGCTCAAGAACACCAGGCCACGTTGCTCCCCTCAAAGCTTGCAGTTTGCCTTTCCTAAAGCTTGTGTGCTGGCTTGCGGGCAGGGTGTGGCACCCACAACCACAAATGAGGCCATTAAGGAAAACAAGTGCCCGCCCATCCTGTCCTGCCAGCCCTAGTGCCTAGTCTTTCAGGGCACCCATTGAAGAAGCAGCCCTGCCTACCCCAACTCCAGTTGCGAGGCTCACCTCTGGCTCTTGCAAGCTGTGTTGGCCTGGCTTGGAAGTCTGCATAATGAAGCCAGATTGCATGGGCCCATGCAGGCTTCCTGGTCTCCAGTGTAGAGACAGGGAGGGGTGAGTTGACCTTTCCTAGGTCTGTGGCCTGAGAGGGACCGGGTCCTGGAGGCAGGAGGGGCTCAGAGCAGCTATGCCCCACCTATAGATGGAGGAGTCGCCTGCGAGTCCTGCCCAGGTAGCTGTGGGCACCCAGTAGAATGGCAGCGGAGTCCTGGGGGTCCTGAGATGGCTGGGACACAGCTTCCAGGTCACTTGAGAATCGCAGCCAGCATTGCAGGCAGGGGCCCTGCTTCTGTGACAGACTCACAATTCTGTATCTCATCATCTAGCCACAGGCCCACAGTGGGGTCAACAAGGCTATGAGGGACCTAGCATGGCCCCATGGGGCTTCCAGCCCCGATCCTTTGCTCCAGCCTCAGTCTAGACTTTTCAGGGGGACACAGCCTCTGCCTTTGGGTCTCCCCAGTCTAGAGTACTGAATGTTCCCTAGGACAGTATGGGGGAAGACCGTGGGGACACTCAGGAAAGTAGAGCTCCTGAGGGAGGGGAGGGTGATCAGGATTGCTTTATAAATAGAAGAAGCCATTCATTGCTCCACCTCCTGGCCTGTGCCTCAGTTTTACCCTCTAGAAAAGGGGTCAATGGTTCCTGCCACCGGGGAAGGGTACGGTTTGAGGAGAGGAGATGTGAGTAAGGAACTTCAAATGCCTGTCACCTAGGTGCCCTGGATTTGTCTCATTCATGTGTCACCTAATTCAACCAAGGGTCCTGTTTTAGGAAAGCAAAAACAAACTCTAACCCAGAGATTAGTGAAACAACTAGTGTCCTTCCTCCCCTTGAGGAGGGAGGACGGGGAGGGAGGCAGAAGTTTTGAGGATCAGGATCCCTTGCCCACTGCCTCCCTCAGACCTCTGTTCTCAGAAGTATACGTTAGCCACTGGAGAGCTCATCAATATTAAAGAGATTCTCCCCCTCCCACCAGCACCACTTGTTGAGCCTCTGCTTGGGTGGGAATAAGCCAGACAAGGCCCCAGCTGCTGCTCATAAAGCTCCATGGTTCTGGGGACAGGGAGAAAGGTAGGCAATAAAGACATAAACATATCAACAGAAAAATTAACAGAAGGGTGTGGTGGTGCATGCCTGCAATCTCAGCACTGGGGAAGTGGAGGCAGGAGGCTGGTGAATTTGAGGCCAGTCTGGGCTGCATGTGGAGGCTCAACAAAACAAATGATTTCAAAGACTGCAGTGGATACTTTAAAGGAAACCAGGCCAGCGGCCCTCGGGGAGGATGTGGGCCTCTACTTAGGGTGGACAGACACTTCAGGAGGTGTCATTTAAGCTGAGATCTAAGGTAGGGGCTAGCTTGTGGAGGGAGCAGAGATGAGAAAAGAATGTCCCAGATGGAGGGAGCAGAAGTTACAAAGGTCTTGGGGTATCTGAGGAACTGTGTCAAAGGCAAATGGGGGGGCTGAGAAGGTGGCTCAGTGGTAGAGTGCTTGCCTTGCATGCATGAGGCCCCAGGTTCGATTCTTCAGCACCACATAAACAGAAAAAGCTGGAAGTAGCACTTTGGCTCAAGTGGTAGAGCACTAGCCTTGAGCTGAAGAGCTGAGAGACAGTGCCCAGCCCCACAACCGACCCCCCCAAAAAAAACAAGCCAAAGGGGGGCTGGGGATGTGGCTTAGTGGTAGAGTGCTTGCCTAGCATACATGAAGCCCTGGGTTCAATTCCTCAGTACCACATACACAGAAAAAAGCTGAAGTGGCACTGCGATAGAGTGTGTGATAGCTTTGAGCAAAGGAAGCTCAGGGACAGTGCCCAGGCCCTGAGTTCAAGCCCCAAGACTGGCACATACACACACACACGCACACACACACACACACAGCCAAAGCGGGTGTCTAAGGTCTGGGCAAGTGAGTAGGAAGCAAAGATGAGGAGGGTCAGGAATGAGCAGGGCCAGGAATGAACAGGGCCTTGGGGATCCGGTAAAGGTGTGTGTTGGGGGGGGGGGGGTGAACGCCAAGGGCTTTTAAACATGGAATAGTGAAAGAAGGATCATGTTTGCAGAGGGTGGCGCTGGGTGCAGTGGGCGCATGACAGGTAGCAGCCAGAAGCCCCTCTGGAGCCACCATTCTCACTGATCCTAAGACTTCACTATCCCACACTGTCTGTGCTCACTGTGTGTGTGGCTGTGTGAGATGAGATAGAAGTCACTTTGGATTGCTATATAGGGTATATAGCAGAGATTCAAGTCTTACTAGAAGTGGAGCTCTAGCTTCTGGATTTGGCCTCTTGGGGGTCCTAGGGCCCAGAGTCCCTGACAGACACCTTACAACAGGTCTTCCTATGCAGGATCACAGGAGAGGCCTGGGCAGAGGTGGAGACCAAGGTCACATCCCAGGGTGGTTTTTAGGTTTCCCTTAACATGCTGGCTGCCATATCATACTGGCTTTTGGTCTACCTTAAAGCACCCAGAGCCGGCTGCCTGTGCTCATGCCTGTAATCCTAGCTACTAAGGAGGCTGAGATCTGAGGATCACAGTTCAAAGCCAGCTGGGGCAGAAAAGTCTGCGAGACTCCAACAGAAAACTGGAAGTGGTGCTGTGGCTCAAGTGGTAGAGCTATAGCCTTGAGCACAGAAGCTCAAGGACCAAGCCCAGGCCCAGAGTTCAAGCCCCAGGACTGGCAAAAACAAAACAAAACCCCCCAAAAAACAAAAACAAAACCACCTCCTGACCTGGGGGAAGGGGAGAGCAGAAGCGGGTGGGAGCTGTCATTCCTAGTCCAGTCTTTGCCTCTCTCGTTTTCCTGGCTTGATGGAGGAGGCCCTGTGACCCTGCTGATGTCCGACACGGGCAGGGGTGGGGGGACTTGGCTGTGCTTGACTTCTGGCACCTTCTCTGGAGGCGGCCACGGGATGGGGAGGGCAGCACTTTCTGCCCGCCAGGGTCGGGCTCCGGGTTGTGGATCTTCGGGGATCTGGGGGGAGCCGGGCCACGCCCACCAGGCCCCGCCCGCCGCGGGCCGTGCGCCTGGCGGCGCAGCGCGGGGACCCCCGGAATGGGACGGACGCCGCTGGCGGGGAGCGGGGCCGCTGCCCCGGGGGGCTGCGGTGAGGCGGGCGGGGCGGGGAGGGGCCGGGCCGGGGAGGGGACCCAGTTCAGGGGCCGATCTTCGTCTCTGGTGGCCTGGCCGGGGCGGGGCGCCGGGGCCGCTTCCCATTCGGCCGCGCGCACCATGGAGTCGCTGAGGGAGTCCGTGTTGCACTTGGCTTTGCAGATGTCGACCTACAAGCGGGCCACGCTGGACGAAGAGGACCTGGTGGACTCACTGTCCGAGGGCGACGTGTACCCCAACGGCCTGCAGGTAGGAGCCCCACTGTCCCCGCCGCCGCCGGGCATGCGCACTGGCGCCGCCCCGCCCCCACCCACCCTGCGGCGCTGAGCACCCCAGGCTTTGAGCCAGGGGGCAGTGGTGCCCCTGAGGGTCATGCCCTCCTGTCCTCAGATCTTCCTGGCCACCTGCCTGAGGGGCTGCAGCCCCGGTGTGGGCGGGGTCTGGGGGGGCGGTGGGGGAGGCCCCCTGCCCTGACCAGCCCCGTGGCCTTCCCACACTCTCAGTCATTGTCTTGCGTGGACTTGCCCAGGGTCACTCGGGCTGCATCCTGGGGCCCGCCTGCAGTCCTGGGGATCTGGAGAGTTGCGCCCCCTAGGGAGGAGGCATTGCCCTCCCTTCTCACCCCCTCCTCACTGCCTGAATTTCCTATGGGGAGCAATCCCAGCTCAGTCTCCTCTCTCTGCCCCTTTGCAGTCCACTCGGGAAGCCCAGGTCTGGGTGGGACCTGGACGCAGAGCAGCTGCACCAGGACAGTTCTGGCCAGGCTCCGAGCCCTGGGTGGGATTGAGCCTCAGACAGGTGGGTGGCAAGGAGTTGGAATTTTTGAGAACCCCCAAGGCAGTGTGGCACCTCCTGAGAAACCAGCCTTAAAAGAGGAGCCCAGATCAAGGCCCCAGGACACCTCTGTCCAGGGAAGGACTGAGGAGACAGCTGACAATCACAACCCAGGTAAGCTTAGAGCTGGAGTTGAAATGCTAACAAAGAAGCAGCACCATTGGATGTACCTCCTCCCAGGCTAAATAGGCCAGGGAGATCCGAACTCACCATCCAGTTCTCCCTTCTCCCCTTCCTCCTCTTCTTCCCTGAAATATGGCAGCCCCACCTAAATCATCCCAAATCAACTGTCAGCACCATCACCAAGAGCTGCAGGCTGATTCTCCATGTACAGATGAGGAAACTGAGGCTCAGAGAAGGAAGACACCCCACCTTAGTTCAGTCTCAGGGCTGTGAGTGACAGTTTACACCCAGGCTGTGCAAAGCCTCTTTTTGTGGACCCTTCCTTCTCAAGAGGCAAATCCGGCAGGAAATGGTTTCTCTGTGGTAAGCACTTTCCTTTCACAAATCACAACAGCATCTAATCAGCAATCTTCTCCAGTCTCATCTTCCACAGCAGCTTCTAAATATATCATCTCAAAAGCATCTCAGAATTCACAACAAAAAATTAACACGCCTTGTTATTGTTGTCACAGTCGCCCACTTGGGTTCACGGACCTATTAGATAAACTTGAGCGCCTCCTGGGAGACCCTGGCAGAGTGCAAGGAGCCCACTTTCCAAACCTGGGACTGAGTGTGAATTCCGACTCCACTCTGTCCTGGGTGAGCTGAGTCTCTGTCCTAATTTCTTCATCTATAAGATGAGAGAAGGTGGGGGGTAGTGTATACCTTGGGGATTGAGAGGATATTGTTGTTTTATGACCTGTGAAGTAAGGGCTGGCATAGCATGTGTTACTGATGACAAAGCTGAGGGACAGAGAATGGTTAGGGACATTCCTGTGGTCACATTACTGTTGTGTGGGTTGAAAAATTCAGTATTGGTATCCCCACGCCAAACTGACCAACTGGATTTATTTTCCATTTTCCATGCAGAAGAAGCAAAAAGGTTACTCGAGGATTTGGGGGCATTTTTGTGGGTGCCTGCTTGGCTTGTTCAGAGCCTCCTGGATTCCCCAGAGCAAATGCCAACGAGTCAATGCTTGCTTTGCTGAGACTCAAAATCAGCTCTACTTACAAGGCTGTTTTCTTTTTCTTCTTTTCCTTTCCTTCTTTTCCTCTCCCTTTTTGGTGATAATGGGATTTGAACTTAGGGCTTTGAACTTGCTTGGTAAGTACTCTACTACTTGAACCAAGCTTTTAGCCCTTTTTGTTTTAGTCATTTTTCAGATAGGGTCTCATACCTTTTGCTTGAGTCAGCCTGCACAATCCTACCTATGCCACGGCTGTGCTCTACCCACTAAACCTGGCTTGTTTGTGGAGAATAGGTCTTACTACCTTTTTTCTTTTTCTCTATATATTCTATATTGTCTTCCCCTGAAATAGAGAGAGAGACAGACAGCAGAAGGAAGGAAGGAAGGAAGGAAGGAAGGAAGGAAGGAAGGAAGGAAGGAAGGAAGGAAGGAAGGAAAGAAGTCAGGCAAGCTAGATATTTAAATTCCTAACAGTGATTTTCTTGTGTTTTGGCACCGTGCATGGGGACTATCTTTGGAGGTCAATGTTGGAGACAGGCAAGACCTCCCTACCTTCCCAGGAGGTACTTCCAACTCTGTCCACCAGCCATCCATTACACTCTGGCTTGCTGCTCTTAGACCCTGAAAGGGTCACATTTGGGGTCTTATTTCATCTCCCTAATTTTAGGGATAGGAGGTTAAGGCCCAGAGGCTGCCTTGGATCATTCAGCAGAATCTTAGCTGACCTCTGACTTCCCACGTTCTCCATCTTTCTCCTATGTGCCACAGGGAGCTGGGTGTTTTTCTGGAAAGTATAAAGGAAGGTAGGCAGCACCTCTATCACAGACTGTGAGCTCCCCATGACAGGAAATGCGCTCAGCTATCACCAGTCATTGGGAGGTGAGGCATGGTGCAGGTGCAGGTTGGGCCCAGGCAGAGATGTGAAGAATGAGAGGACATCAGAGCTTTGCTCCATGCTAGTCCCCATGACCTCAGCCCAAAGTCCACCTCATGGAAACTTTACTGGAAGACACTTCCCCAAACCGACACCCTCACAAGTGGGGAGGCCAAGCTGTCACGGTCTGCCTGCTTTGAAAGGCTGGCTCCCGGACAGGCAGCCCAGTCCCCCTGCCAACCCTCACGCTGCTGGGCTTCTGGGCTGTAGGGGGTGGGCTCCTCGCCAAACCTTTGGCAGGCGACTCCTGCTCCCTGCAGCCCAGGTTGCTGGGGGCCCTGGCAATGACTCAGAGAGAACTTACTTTTCCTCCAGACCCAACCTGACTCACAAACTTGGCTGAGCCTGCCTCCCACCCCTGCTCTCCTGCTTGCCTCTGGGGGCCCCAGGTAGGTGCCCATCCTCACCTGCAAAACTCGTTCTTGCTGCGGGCCTAGGTGAGCCAGGCTCTCACTTCTGTAACCGAATATTTATCCCCGATTAGTGCTTTCATTCCTTGTCTGTGGGAACCCCGGGTGCGTTCTTTCCCTCCTATTGTCTCTGAGTGTCTCTCACTCTACCGCCATCCTGTTCGGTTTTTGTTGTTTTTTTCTCCCCACCTGTCTTTGGAGAGCACCCCTTTCCCTCTTGTTCTGGTTTGCTCTCCCACCTTAGATAGCAAGAAGCAGAAAATTAAGCTCGCAGCAAGTTGGGCATCTATGGTCCCTGGCATTGGTTCAGTTTCCACTTACATCTCCCCAGATGGATCTGGCGGCTTGCCACCTAATCCTCTACGTAGCTACTGCCCCCCCCACCCCCCCCATTCTGCCCTGATTGACATGGCCTCATTTCCAAAAGGAATTCAAGAAAGCATTCAGGTCCTTGCTCATGACCGTGACCTTGTCTCACGGGCAGGTACACGGAGGGCTCAAAAAAGCCCTTGACTGGGCTGGGAAGGTGGCTTACTGGTAGAGTGCTTGTCTAGCATGCATGAAGCCCTGGGTTAGATTTCTCAGTACCACATAAACTGAAAAGGCCAGAAGTGGTGCTGTGGCTCAAGTGATAGAGTGCTAGCCCTGAGCAAAAGAAGCTCAGGGACAGTACCCTGGCTCTGAGTTCAAGCTCCAGGACTGGCAAAAAAAAAGGGGGGGGGGAGGGGGCCTTGACTGAGGTCAGGCAACTGTAAACAGCAGAGACGTACCCAGGAACTGGCCAGTGTCTCCTGGTCCAAGCCCAGTGCTCCAGGAGACTGACTTCTGCCCCAGGAGCTGTGTTTGCTCTGGATTTGTTCTGCCCCCTAGAGACAACACCTTGCATTTGTTCTTAAAACAGTCCCAAGTTGAGCAAAGAACACGATGAGGTTAAAGAGCCTGTTTCCAAATGCCACTTGCCATTCTGGCTTAGAAGGATGACCTTTTAAATCCAATCTGGGCTTCATTCTAATTTAATTAACAGTGAGCACCATCCATTTAGATTCAGCACTTTGTTTGACCTGGAACAATGAGGCTCAGCCCAAGTCTGCTGCTCTAGTGGTACCCCTCCTGGGGACCAGGCCTCCCTGCCCTTTCTGGAGAGATGATGTGTCATGGGCCTATCTCTTCTGCTCCCTTCCAGCCTCAGCTCTCTGGGTCTCTCCTGGAGCTAGAGTACTCCTTAGTCCCAGGGACAATGTGAGAAGAGAATTATACCACCTAGCAATGAAATCTCAGGCCCATTCACAAATACTCGCCTAGCCAGATGTCTGTGGCTCAGGCCTATAATTCTAGCTATTGAAGAGGCTGAGATTTGAGAATCTCAATTCAAAGCCAGCCTAGACAAGAAAGCCTATGAGACTCTTAACTTTCGTTAACTACCAAAAACCCAGAGGTGGAGCTGTGGCTCAAATGGCAGAGTGAAAAAAAACTAAATGACTAGACTCTGAGTCTAAGCCCCAGTACCAGCATGCATGCACACATGTGCACACATGTGCACGCACGTGCATATGTATGCACACACACATACATATACACACAATTATTAGCTGCTTTTAGGGCCTTTCTCCTCCCCTGCTTCCCTGTCCCTTCCAACTTCTGCCTTCTGTGTCTTTTCTCTCTCCTTCACCTTTTCAGACACCTTTACTCCTGGCTGTCACCTTGTCCCTCTCACCAGACCAATGAAGTGAGTCCCTTCCCTCCCTCCCCTTCCCAGTGTGTCCTTCAGCTCTCTGGAATGAGTGCCAGGCAGAGGGTGCCCCTCATCCAAGGTCACACTGCTTCCTGTTCCCTGTGAGCTCAGCCTAGATGACTTTTCCTGGCCAGGGGAGCACAAGAGGTCATGAGGAAGAGGAGGATGTGGAGGAGGAGGAAGGCTGAGACAGTTCTGGAGCAGAAGGACGGACAGGCAAAGGGACACTATTATCAGTATCCTCTTACATGGCAGCACCTGCCCCAAGTCCTCAGGACCCTTCCGAATACCAGTGCCCAGGACAAGTTGAGGGAGACATTGATATCCTTGGTGAACCTTCGGGGTATTGTACATGCACTTGAGCATCACCCCAGTCTCTCTGCACCAGGCCGTCTGTGAAAGTTTTAGCTAATGAGAATAGCGCTGAGAAGCTTTGCTTCTCCTAGTTTTAGAAAAGGGGTTTTAGCAGGGGGGCTTCCCTCCTTCCCTCCTTCCCTCTCTCTCTCCCTCCACTTGCCTGCTGCTGTGGCAAGGGCCAGCTGACCTTCTATGAAATGATCACCTTGTCTTTTTTTAATTTTTATTTTTTTATTGTTACTATAAAGGTGATATATAGAGAGGTTACAGTTACATAAGTCAGGTAATGAGTGCATTTTTTTCTTTTTTCTTTTCTTTTTTTTTTTTTTTGTGTGTCAGTCGTGGAGCTTAAACTCTGGGCCTGGGCGCTGTCCCTCAGCTCTTTAGCTCAGGACTAGGGCTCTACCACTTGAGCCACAGCGCCACTTCTGGCTTTTTCTGCTTATGTGGTGCTAAGGAATCGAACCCAGGGCCTCATGCATGCAAGACAAATGAGTGCATTTCTTTTTGGACAATGTCACACCCCTTCCGGCGCTTTCTCCCAGTTTTTCCCTCCTGTCTCTACCTACAAATTATATAGTTCATTTTCAACACAGAGCCTTGACTCACTTTCAGGCTGATTTTTCTTCACCGAAAATTCTCATTTCCCCTTTCCCTAGTGCCCTAATTCCCAGTCACTTTCTGTCCACAGGGTACCCGGCCATGACCACAGGGCTCTTACTCTAAGATGACCTGTCACAGATCCCCATGTGCCACTGTGAGACTCCTGTGGGTTCTGGCAGCTCTGGGGGCTGCCCTTCCTCAGCTATGTGGGGGCATTGGCAGGCCAGAGTCCCAGTCCTCCAGCATGCTATGACAACCACCTTAGGAGTCTCCCTGCTCAACTCCTGCCTTGCTCCCTCTTAGTTGCTCTTCCCAAAGGACAAATCTGTCTCTCTAGTCCTGAAGAGGACATTCATGTTCCTTAATCTATCTTACAGAGCTCCTTAAATAAATACCCTGTCAGCTTCTGTTTATTCTTCAAGACCCAGCCCAGATTATCACCCCCTCCAGGAAGCCTTCCCTGATTGAACCCCTGTTCATTATTCCAGCCTTTATCAGCATCCCATTAGGCTGGGAGCAGCTGATAGTAAAGGAACCTCTTCCCCTCCGTGCATGAGTTGGTGCTCAGCTGTTTGTTGTGGGGCAACTCATGAACCAGCCCCACCTTCAGGAGTGCCTTCTTGCGCTGTGGCCCTGGCTTTTTCAGGAAGCACCTCTTAGAACAGAGCCCCTGAGCTGGTTTTGGGTGTGATGGGCCAGGGCTCAGGGCTCTGAGTGCTGTTAGTGGGTGTGTCCCTAATGAGCCCAAGAGCTCACACACACACACACACACACACACACACACACACACAGGCTTCCCCTCATTGTGCCTCCTTTCCTGTTTAGCTAGACTGTGAGGCTGGGGACATTTCTCCTGCCTTGATGGAGCTGCTTCTTTTCTTGTCTCCTCCAGTATCCCAGACCACATCTCTGATCCATAAGTGGGCTCAAGCATCCACAGGCTCAGATTCAAGTCCCTGCTCTGCCCACTCAGCTCTGTGGGGTGGACTAACCCCTCTGGGCCTCAGTTTCTCCATTTGTAAACAGATGACCAAGAAGCCAGCCCTGGCGGGATCATGAGGGTTTACCGAGCTCAGCATGTCCCTGCTTGAAGAACACCTGAGCTGTGGCCGTGCTATTGCTGGGCGCTGGGCGCCGGGCCCCGGGCCCGTGGGTGTGGGGCCTCTGAGGCAGGCCTAGCTGGCCACCCTCTGCATATCTGCAGTCCAAACATCCTGTTCCTTTCCAGCTCCTTACTGGAGAGGCAAGGAAATGCTGTTGGTCTTTTTTCCCCGTCTGCCCATATCGGGTGACACAGAACACACAAGCCCTCCCGGCTTGAGCTGCCGAGTCTCAGCTACTGGCTAGGGTGGAGGTTCCGTTCTTGGCTTAGGGCTGATTCTGTGGGAACCAGACCACCCCTGAGACGGAGGACAGCCCGATGGCTCCCCAGGGCCTAGGCCTGCCTCGGAGCCCCTTCCTCTTGAGATTGGGGAGCCCTGAACTCACGTCCTCCCCACTCCTCCTGCCTCCTCCCCTGCAGGTGAACTTCCGCAGCCCTCGGAGCGGCCAGAGGTGCTGGGCAGCACGGACCCCGGTGGAGAGGCGGCTGGTGGTGTTGGTGGCACTTTTGGCAGCAGGATTGGTGGCCTGCCTGGCAGCACTGGGCATCCAGTACCGGACAAGTAGGTGCTTCTGTGTTTGTGGAGGGCTTGTCTCCCCCTGTCCCTCTGTTTCTGTACAGAGGACTTCCCTGCTCAAGCCAAGAAGGCTTCTAAGCACAAGGAAGAAGCCAGGTCTGCAGGGCTCAGGGTGGTGGTTGGTACAAAGGTAAATTAGAACAACCTGAGTTCACATCCGAGCCCAGCAATCCAACAGCAAGCAGTATGATCTTGAGCAAGTCATTTACTTCCCCAGACTCTGTGTCATCTCCCTTTAAGGGGGGAAAGCAGTGCCTAATAGGGTTTGGCCCTGAGGTCCTATGCAGTGCCTTAAGGACTTATTCAGCCTGGGCTCTGACATGGTTGCTAGGGTGTGGCTGCTGGACCAGGCTGGTGCAGCCTGCCCAAGAGGAAGCCAGTGGTGGCTTCTGCATGCTGACCTCTCTGTGGGCCAAATACCCCTTTACAGACATGGCCTCGTGTCTTCCCTTCATGTCCCTACAGGCTGTGATTGCTTTCAGTTCTTTTCTAGATGAAGAAACTGAGGCCCTGAGGATTTGAGTGGGGCAGCTGGAATTTTCCCACTGGCTCCCTCCTAGGCTTCAGAAGCCTCAAGAGCTCAGGTCCTGCCTTCTTTTGTAATCACTGTCATTCCTGATCATGAGGGATGTCCTTCCTTGCCCAGAGTCTTTGTGCCTGTGTCTGTCCCTCCATCCACCTGTCCATTCCCATTACATGAGCGTAGGGTGAATGTGGCCCCTGTTATCCCACCCTCAGAGCTGGAGGCTGCTTCTCGGAGCCCGCCAAATGGATCCTGCCAGCACTGCATTTTACTCAGCTAGCACTTATGCAACTGGGAGGATTCGAGTTAAAACCAAGGACAGGGAGGCCAGCCAATTCCAGGCTGTCTCCCTCTCCTGCTCCTGCCCCCAGTATCTAGCTTCCTGATGGTGCACCTGGCTGAGCAGCCAGAGAGGGGCTTTGGTCAGGGTCCTGCCCACCGACTTGGCCATGCACCGTGAAACCATGGCTGTGCTGGGCCCTCCCCGCTGTGAAGCTGCTGGCCTGAGGTTGGTCATGGTAGACTAGAAAGGAAGGGCCCTCAGGGCCTGGAGAGAAGAGAGGGCATACTCTAGAAATAAGTGTTTAACTGACGTTTAAATTGTGTGTATTGTGTAGGTTCTGAGCTCTGTCTCTAAGCTTTTTTTTTCCCCCCTCAAGACTAAAGCTCTACCATTTGAACCTCAGCTCTACTTCTGGCTTTTTTGGTGGTTAATTGGAGATAAGAGTCTCAGAGACTTCCCTGCCCAGTCTGGCTTGGAACTGTAATCCTCAGATCTCAGCCTTCTGAGCAGCTAGGATGACATGAGTAAGCCACAAGCATCCGGCTCTTAACTGACTAAATGGGCTATAGTCCCAGCAGGTGCTTGATGTATATTTGAGTAAGTAATTTACTAGCTTCCAGGCCTTTCACCACACATACTTACGTAGCGCCTGGTGCCATGGTGTACAAATAATAACTGAATGAATGACAGAATGGACAAAGGAAGAAGAGAGAGAGAGAGTGTGTGTGTGTGTGACACTACAGATGTGTGTTTGTGCGTGTGTTGTGTGTCCTCTACCAGCGGGTCACTAGCTGCTGGCACCACCCTGCAGTTGCCACCTGGCCTCACATCCTGATCAATCAGCTTCAGTTCTGAGCAGCCCACCGGTCTGTGCAGCCCATGGCCAGCTCTTTGTCCTGGACCTGGGAAGCAGGCAGGATTCCAGCAGCCGGTTTGGCCCTGGGGCTGCCCTTAGGAGCCCCCAAGGGGTTTCTTCTCCAGGATCCAAAGAGAGCTCCCAAGGGACAGCTCTTAGGAACAGCTTCCTTAGGGGTCATACTCAAAGCAATTCTGCTGTTGTTGCCAAGTAGGTCCTAAGGGGGAACCTGACCCTCTCAGCATCTGGAAAGGGGTTTCTCCACCTGGGCCTGCCTTCTTGTCCTAGGGTGGAGTGGATTAGGGATCAGGTAACTCCTGAGCCACCTGAAAAAGCAGTGGCCACCTAGAATGTGGACAGTAACCTTGTGACATTGGCCTCGTCTGAGCCAACGCCAGGCCAGGAAAGCAAGTCCTCGGGTGTACCTGGAAGACCCACAGCTATGTCCTATCTGGGCACCTAAGGATCTTTTGATCTGTCTTCCTGCTATACCCTCCTTTCCAGAAACTTGCAAGTAACTTTGCAAACAACAGCCATCCAAACATGAAACTCCCTCAGGAAGCACTGGCAGCACCTTAGAGGGTGGTAGGGCCAGCCACCAACCAAGTGAGGGGAATTAATCTAGGGTTGATTCTTGCCTTCTCAACTGACTCATGCCCATCCTGATGGGTTGAGATGGTTGTCCCCTCCAGGAGGTGGTCAAAACATGGCCACTCAGTTGGCCATTTATTCCTTCTACAACATGTGTTAAACAGCTGCTAGATGCCAGGCACAGTGGTGGGCAAGCAAGCAAGATGCCAGTCTTACACTCAAGTTCATGTTCTAGTCCAGGAGGTAGCCAGGGAGAAGACCGAGGCCCGCCATACGGCTCCCCATACAGGGAACAGGGACTGGGGGGGGAGGGTTTCCCCTGGGGGAAGAGGAGGAAATCCTAAGTATGAGACTTGGAGCCGTTAATTTGTTAATCAAATATATATTAAGCACCTGCTGAGCCAGGACAATGTAAGGATCTGTGAGCCATTACATAGTTAAATAACCAAGCAGTCATTGTATGAGCATCATCTAGGAGCTGGCACAGCATCCAGCAGAGTTGGGGTCTTAGGGAGGACCCACATCTCTGACACTGGCTCCTGATACTGAGTTCATTTTGTTTTTAAATCCAAGTCCTCTTACAGTCTATCTCCTAGGTATTTCCTTCAGCCAAGATTTTGCCCAGCCCTGACTTCCTGTGGCTCAGGGTGTAACAATAGGTATTCTTTTCCCTTATACCCTAATAGTGAATAGGCCTTTTCAAATCACACACAAGTTCTCTTCCCCTCCCCCCATGGCAGTTCTGGCCTTCCCCATGGTTGGGACTGGTATGTGCTACTATGATTAAGATGGTGTGATCTCAAAATATTGAAAATGAAGCCAGGTGAGCTTCATTGTATGAGTAGATAGATAGATAGATAGATAGATAGATAGATAGATAGATAGATAGATAGGTATACATACCTACTACTAATGACAGCCTCATTCTCTCCATCAAAAGGATTGTGTATAGGTTGGGAGTGGAGTTCAGTGGAGTAGCACTTGTCTAGCATTGAATTCCTGGGGTCAATCCTAGCACTATAGCACTTCATGCACATGCACAACACACACACGCGCGCGCGCGCACACACACACACACAAATTCTCTGTTTACATATAATAGCTCAGTAAGTTTGTTTGTGTTTATGTATGTGTGCATGTGCGTGTGCGTGTGTGCATGTGTGTGTGTGCGTGTGTGTGTGCACGTGTGTGCGTGCACGTTCCTAGGGCTTGAACTCAGGGCCTGGGTGCTGTCCCTGAGCCTTTTGCTCAAGGCTAGTGCTTTGCCACTTGAGCCACAGCTATACTTCTAGCTTTTTGGTGATTAATTGAAGATAAAAGTCTTATGTACTTGGCTGCACAGGCTGGCTTCCAAGTATGATCCTCAGAACTCAGACTCCTGAGTAGCTGGAATTTCAGGTGAGCCACCAGCACCTGGTATGCTCAATACATTTTAATGATTGCAAATTATCTCAAATATAGTTGCCCTGAGTTCCCTCCTGTGCTATTGCCCCTCTGATCCCTCTGTGGGGAACTTTGTACTTATCAGAACAGACAAGAGATCCTGTCCTGACCACCCTCGTGGCTGATGGTGTGCTGCCAAGGGAGGCCAGGACCCCTCTGCCAGCCCTGCCTTCTTCCTGTTTTCTAAACAACAGCCTGAGATCTTCAGACCTGGGCCCTGAGGAAGCAGAGAGCCCTGTGTCCAGCCAGAAATTTCCCAGTACATTTCCACTTACTTCTGGACAGAGAAACTGAGCCTTGGAGAGACAAGAGGTTACTTGTAAGAGGCCCTGCAAGGCAGAGACAGAAAGCTGAGGTTTGAACCCATGTCAAAAGGTTTCTAAAACCATCCTACCTTGCTACTTCCCTGTGTGGTAAGGAAACTGATCTTCCAGTCCAGCTACCCCGCTCCTGGCATGGCCAACAAAGAGATGGTACTAAGCTCCCAGCTCTCACACAGCTGGGTGACCTTGTTCCAGTCACTTCCTCAATGCCTTAGTTTCTTGGGGTTGGTTGTTTGGTTGGTTTGAGCCAGACTTGTGGCTTGAGCTCAGGGCCTGGGCCATGTCCTTGAGATTTTTCTTTTTGATCAAGGCAAGTGCTCTGCCACTTTTTGGTGCTTAATTGGAGATAAGTCTCTCAGACTTTCTTGCCTGGGCTGGCTATAAACCACAATCTTCAGATCTCTTCCTCCTGAGTAGCTAGGATTACAGGCATGAACCACCAGCCCCTGGCAGCTCCCTGGTCTTTGTACATGAATATTATAGCTGCATCTGATGCCGGGGTGGGGGTTGAGGATGGTGAGCATGTGAGAATAGCAGGTGTGCAGGGAGCAGCCTCTGTTGTCACTTGCCTGGCTTGGGTCTGTAGACCATGAGACCAGGCCTGGTTCCTGGTTTCTCAGTCCTGCAGAGTCAGGCTTGGCCTCCTGGCTCAGCCAAGCCTCTGGAGAGCCATCTGTGATTCTGGTCCCCTGACCAACCTTGAGGCTGGGGCCCTGAACCGTTCCTCATGTCTCTGGCAAACTGGTCACTTGTTTCCAGTTTGTCTTATCAAATGGTACTAGGATTTGAACACAGGGTCTTTGCTCTTGCTTTGTTTGAAGATTTATTGAGATAGAGGATTCCTGCCATGTGCTCAGGAGAGGTGCTGTTTCCTGGCTCCTCCCCTGTCCACCTCGTCTCCCTTCTTCCCGGTTACCTCACCCACTTGGTACAGAGTCAGTGTTCACTCTGTTTCATGTAGAATGAATGGCAGTTTCTCCTACTCTTCTCTTCTGACTCTTACATGTGTATGTGTGTCCCTGAATGAATTATTAGCTCCTGAAGGAAAAGACTTTGCCTTTTATAGTCCTCAACTTCCTCCACCCTCTCTGTCTTACACACACACACACACACACACACACACACACACACACACACACACACACACACACGACTACTCAGCAAAGAATCCAGAAGACCCTTATTTTGTTGAATACATGAATGCATAAAAGAGTAAAGGAATTTATTTTGTATCAGAAAATAACAAAAAGTTGGTGAGGGCTTGGACATGGTGGTATACACCTATAATCCCAACTGTTTGGGAGGTGCAGATAAGAGGATCAAAGTTGGAGGCTAGCAGGAAAAAGCCAGACCTCTATTTCACAAATCAAAACAAACAAAAAAGCTGGGCCAGGTATGGTACCTCATATCCGTACTCCATCTACTTAGGAGGTAGAGATGAGAAGGACCACAGATCGAGGCTAGCCCAGTCAAAGTTTGTAAGACACTCTCTTAGTTAATAAGCTGGGCATGGTGATGCCTGCCTGTGATCTCAGCTACAATGGAGACCCTAGGTAGAAGCGAGTCTCCACCTGAGTCTAGCTGAGCACAAGTTTGGTACTCTGCCTGAAAAATCACTGAAAAGCAAAAGGACTGGGCGTGTGGTTCAAGAGCTGGAGTGCCTGCCAAGCAAGCATGAAACCCTGCATTCAAACCCCATACCGCTAAAACAAACAGCAACAACAACAGCGTGGGCATGGTAGCACATACTCATGATTCTAGCTACTAAGGAAGCATAGGTAAGAGGATCCAAGGTCAGCCTGGGCAAAATTAAGAGACCCTCTCTGAAATCAAACTAAATGCAAAAGGACTGGATAGGGTTTGGCTCAAGTGGCACAGTACTTACATCCCCAGCACTTAAAAAAGTGTGTGTGGGGGGGAGTCTCTATGGGAGGATTATGAGAAACACCTCTTTGTTCTAGGGACTTTGATGGCACAAAAGAGTTTTAGCCACTAAACCAAGGTCTTCTTTTACAAGCTGGGAGATCTGAAATTTCCTGATCATAAGGAGTCTAATAACCATCCAGTTCCAAGCTCTTAGGGTTGAGTGTGGGTTTGTGTTTCCAAGGCCCGAGGCCACTTGTGCTGCCCTCCTGGACCCTTCTCCCTGCCCCTCTTCACTGGCCTCTTGTCCTTGTCCCCTTCCAGGAACACCCCCAGTATGTCTGAGCGAGGCCTGTGTCTCAGTGACCAGCTCCATCTTGAGCTCCATGGACCCCTCGGTGGACCCCTGCCAGGACTTCTTCAGCTATGCCTGCGGGGGCTGGATCAAGGCCAACCCTGTGCCTGATGGCCACTCCCGCTGGGGGACCTTCAGCAACCTTTGGGAACACAATCAAGCCATCATCAAACACCTGCTGGGTAAGCACCGGCAGGGGGACAGACAAATATGCCAGGTCCACTGCACCTGCCAGCCAGCCCAGTCTGCTCAGAGGAGAGGCAGGGCAGGCTAAGAAGGCCGTGGACTTTGTAGTAAGGGGGTTGGTAGCCCTGGTTGCTATTCTGTGGCTTCTAGTTACACTGTAGGTCTTGACAGTTTTGAAGGGGAAGGCTGGACACACCAGCTCAGGTTTGAAGGCTGTGAATCAGTGGAAGTTGTAACAACAGCTCATCAGAGTTAGTCTCTCTGGCCTCCTGGTAACCAGCCTTGCTGTCTGACCAAAGTCCTTCCGACCTTGAAGTTGGTGGTTTTATGCTCAGGTTAGAACCCCACGTGTGTCTTGTTTACAACAGTATTCCTGGTTAATGTTTGTTGAATCCCCAATGGGAATCAAGAAGGGAGCCCCAGTGCCAAACTGGACCCAGACCTCCTGACTCGAATCCCCTGGCATCTGTGACCTTGGCTGTCTGCTTTTCCTGTCGACCTTTGCTTTATTCTGGGACCCTCAATGCTGGGAGGAGCCAGATTATTAAAATCCAATTCATGTGTCCACCAGTAAGAACTTAAACTCAACAAATACTACTTTTAAAAACTCCTTAAGGGCTGGGAAGGTGGCTCAGTGGTAGAGTGCTTGTCTTGCTTGCATGAGGCCCTGGGTTCAATTCCTCAACACATGTAAGCAGAAAAAAGCCAGAAGCGGTGCTGTGACTCTAGTGGTGAGCCTTGAGCTGAAGAGCTGAGGGACAGAGCCCAGGCCCAGGCTGCACGACTGAAAAAAATAAAATAAAATAAAAAATAACTCCTTAAGAAAATGATGAGGGGGGTGGGAAGGTAGCTCAGTGGTAGAGTGCATGCCTTGCAAGCATGAGGCCCTGGGTTCAATTCCTCAGCACCACATAAACAGAAAAAGCCGGAAGTGGCGCTGTGGCTCCATTGGTAGAGCACTAGCCTTGAGCTGAAGAGCTGAGGGACAGCGCCCAGACCCAGAGTTCAAGCCCCACAACTGGCAAAAAAAAAAAAGAAAATGATGAGGGGTTGTAGGCATAGCTTAGTTGGTAGAGTACTAGCCAATGAGCAAAAGTTCTAGTACCAGTCTTGCAACAAAAAAGAAAAAACAGAACTGTGAAAAGGGTGACATCAATCAAGATGCATTGTCCTCATAGCCTGATTTCTGGAATTGAAATCTCTGTGTACAGCTATTTAATAAAAACAAATAAATATTATTTTTTTAAAAAAAATCCTTCAGCATACCAGTAGGTAAATAGGAGAAGGTAACTAAAAGAGGGTAAATTCAGCTGGATGCAGTGGCTCATACCTGTAATTCTGTCTACTAAAACCAGACATCTGGAAGACTGTAGTTCAAGGTCAACCCGAGCAGAAAGTTCTAAGAGACCCTGTTTCAACCAATAAAAAGCTTCTACTTACAATTCAGTTGTAGTATAAGAATGGCAGTCTAGGGCTAGCCTGGGCCAAAAGCAAGACTCTATTTCAAAATTAACCAAAGCAAAAAGGACTGGAATTATGGGTCAGGCTGCAGAGCACCTACCAGACTAGTACAAGACATGCTCCTCAGCAGCATGGGAGACAGCCTCCTGCTCATCTCCCTGGAGATGGGAGCAGGTGTATTGAGGTGGGGTTGAAGGGACCCTGCTGAAGCAGCAAGTCCCAGCCCAAGATGGCCCTTGCCTACCTCATGCCACCACAGGTGCCTTTGAAAGAGAGCGAAACTGTTCCTCTTAGAATAAATGACTTGAAAGACAGCCATATCTGTGATTAAGGCGGAAACTCAGTGCTGTGTCCCTTTGCCCAGCACCTGCCCAGCACAGTCAAGGGCTTATCCTGGTAACCTGGTCAGATGAGCTAATGTCAGCCCCTGGGGTCAGGGCTGGCTCTGCCCCTTATCTGGAGGTCTGGGGTCCGTCACTTTACTAGGCGGCTTGTTTTCTTATCAGAACACTGGAACACAAGCCTCCTCCAAGTTTATGAAAATTCAATAGTTAGCTCATTCAAAAATTTATTACACTTTTTTATTGTTGTTATCCTGGTCCTGGGCTTAAACTCAGGGCCTGGGTGCTGTCCCTGAAGTTTTTTGTTTTTTGTTTTATTCCCGGCTCAAGGCTAATGTTCTACTGCTTGAACAAGACTCCACTTCAGGTTTTTTGGTAGTTAAGAGATAGTCTTACAAACTTTTCCGCTGAGATTAGCTTTGAAGCTTGATTCTCAGATCTCAGCTCCTTTTTTTTGGGGGGGGGGGGGGGATCCAGTCGTGGACCTGAACTCTGGGCCTGGGCGCTGTCCCTCAGCTCTTCAGCTCAAGACTAGCGCTCTACCACTTGAACCACAGCGCCACGTCCGGCTTTTTTCTTTTTGCTTATGTGGTGTTGAGGAATTGAACCCAGGGCCTCATGCATGCAAGGCAAGCACTCTACCACTGAGCCATCTTCCCAGCCCCAATCTCAGCTTCTTGAGTAGCCAGGATTACAGGCGTGAGCCACTGGTGCATGGCTACACATGGTCTTTTTGTTTTGTTATTTGGCAGTTCTATTTTGTTATTTAGCAGTACTGTCATTGGAACTCGGGCACGTGCTAGGCACGTGCTCTGCCACTTGAACCACACCCATTGTTTTTAACATAGGGTCTCAATTTGAGCCTGGGCTGACCTGAACCACCTATTTTTGCTTCCTGCACATTCCATCTCACAGCTTTTTATTAATGGGGCATAGGGGGAGAGCATGGAGGGAGGGAGTCGTAAACTTTTTCTCCTGGGGCTGAGTTGCTCTTCATCTAAGCCTTCTGAATAGGTAGGATTATAGACATGAGCCACTGTCCTCAGCTTACCTGTAGTTTTGATCAAGTCTAGCAAGATAATAGTAAATAATAAGGTTTTTTTCTTTAAATCAAAAGAAATTTCAAATCAGGAACTTTAAATTACTACGCCTGCATTCCGCAGCTCAGTGGAGGCTGAGGAACTCTCAAGTTAGTCCTGAGTTGAAATCATTGCAAGACCTGCTCAAGCGCTTCTCTGCCCTGATTTTGTGAAAATCTGTCTTCCCAAAAGCACATTAAGAATCCACGTGCTATGTTTCAAATGAAGCGAAAAACCTGAGGGTTGTTGAAAGGGGCAGTGTGTCTTTAGTGGCAGTTGGGTGAAGTTATGAGGGAAATAAATCACTACCCATAGTATTCAAGATAAAGAACATGAAATCTAGGTTTGGGTAAGTAGCATTCATGCCTACCACAGTCATTTCTGTGGCAGTAAGGTAGCAACTTTATGTCAAATGTCAAGTGTTCATGCTCAGACCTACTGTACATACCCTACGGGTGAATTTGAGTAACTTTACAGTGTTGAACCCTATGCGATCCGAGCATGCGTGGTTCTTCCTTGGTGGTGGTCTCAGTCCACAGAAGCCAAAATCTACTTTGTGTTGGAAGTCCTCAGTCTGGCATGTTGATGGGGGAGAGGTGGTTGCCAGTATATTAAGGTTGTACATTGTAACCTTTGACCTTGCACAGCACAGTCCACATAGCTGTTTTGTAACTTCATCCCATTTGGTCCTGCAGAACATTGTTCAATAGATAAACAAACTGAGATTCTCAGGGCAGGCTGGTAGATGGCAGAGCAGGACAGGCCTGGTTTCCAGTTGTGTGCCCTTTCCCTGCCCCTCACCATCCTTAGGGATAAGGGTCACATGCAGCTCCCTGCCCATCTTGCTACACAGCAGGACAGGAGGACCTGAAGGAGAGCAGGAAAGAGGCTGATGTTGCTTGTCCTCTGCATGCTGGACGCAGTGCTGGGCTCTTTGTAATTGTTCCCTGTTTAAGCCTCACTGCAACCCTGAAATTTAGGAATTCTCTTGTTTGTTTGTTCACTTGCTTCCTTACTGTGTCAATTCTGAGGCTTATACTCAGGGCCTGGGCTCTGTCCCTCAGCTCTTCAGCTCAAGGCTAGTGCTCTACCACCTGAGCCACAGTAACCTTACAACCTTTTTGATGATTAATGAGAGATAAGAGTTTCTGGACTTTGCTACTTAGGCTGCTTAGATCTCAGCCTCCTGAGTAGCTAGGATTACAGGTATGAGCTACCAGCACCTGGCAATTTAGGGATTTTTATTCCCATTTTCCAAATGGTGACACTAAGGCTCAGAGATGTTAAGGGATTTTGCCCCAAGAGCACACCTCTAGTGCAGAATGGAGGGGGCTCATCTCTGGTGAGCCATTAGCACTGATAAGAGCTAGGGAAGAAAGGTAGACAAGTTGTCTGACTTCCTGGTTTGTCCTCAAGTTGGCTCTGTGCCTTGTGGCCACAATCCTGACCCTACTACTTCCTGAGCTGGTTCTTAATCAGAGAAAACCTTGGATCTGAGCCCATCCTACCCTGCTTGGCCTTAACTTGTCAGAACTCGTGAAAAGTGGTCTCCAGTCTTGGGCTGTATCCTTACATCCACCCAGTCCCTCAGGGTCAAGTTGTGGCTGTTCCAAGCTGGGCATAGAACAGCCAGAATCAGACGATCAAAGCCCTGACAACAAGGCCAGGGTCTAACAGCCTCAGAAGGCCATCCTGCAGGGCTGTGAAGCCAACTAGCCCAAATGCTAGCTCAGCTGTTGACCAGAGACCTGGCTTTCTTGTACCTAGTTCTAATCTCTGTGAAATAGGGACCTTGATGACCCCCTAACACCTAAGGTTGTGATAAGTATTGATCTGCATGTGATATTCAAAGTACTTAGCTTGGTGGTATTGAGTGAGTTCTATGCTGTTTTACCTAATGACCTACTAAGCTACTACAGGAAGACCACCAGCCTCTCAGAGCCCTCTATAAGAAGGAATCAAATTCAGATCATTAGGAAGCATACTCTAAGAATACACCATTGCTTATTCTGTTTTTCATTATCAGGGAAAGTGGTGCAGAGTAACACACAGTTTCTTTTTTTTTTCTGGTTGGTCATGGGGCTTGAACTCTGGGCCTATGCTCTGTCCTTCAGC